ATATACATACATACATACATGCATACATACACGTGTGTTTGTGCTGTATCTATATATGCATACACTATGTTTGTGTGAGAGAGAGGACTATCTATAATAGACAAAGTATATATAAATATAAAATTTCAGATTAATAAACTAAAATTATGAGGGGGAAAAAACAAAGAACAAAAAAAAAAAATCTGTTTATGATATGATTTTCACATTCCAGATCTGTTTGGACTTGAAGAATCCTTGCTTTATAAAACAATCATAACTTAATAATCAGTTTAAACATGTCAAATAACTGAAATGAAACATCTGTGAGCAATCTGTCTTATTCCGTGTGTGTGTGTGTGTGTGTGTGTGTGTGTACACTGCCATTCAAAAGTTTGGGATCAATAAGATTTTTTATGTTTTTTAATGGAGTCTCTTGTGCTCATCAAGGTTTTTTTTATTTGATCAAAAATACAGAAAAAAACTATAATATTGTGAGATATTATTTCAATTTCTAATATTGGTTTTCTGTTCTAATATACTTTAAAATATAATTTATTTCTGTGATCAAATCTTAATTTTGCCACTATTTAAAATTACAATCTTTTCTAACAATGTGTGTCTTTACTATCACTTTTTATCCATTTAACACATTCTTGCTGAATAAAAGTATTCATTACTTTCAAAAAAAGAAAGAACAAAAATTTACTGACTCCAAACTTTTGAACGGTATATTGTAACACAAGATATCCATTTTGAATAAATGCTGTTTTTTTATATATATATATTCATAAAAGAATCCTGAAAAAAAGTATCACTGGTTCCAAAAAACATTGATACTCCATTTATTATTTATTTATTATCAATATTCCAACATTGATAATAAATCAGCATATTAGAATGATTTCTGAAGATCATGTGACACTGAAGACTGGAGTAATTATGCTGAAAATTCAGCTTTGATCACAGAAATAAATTACATTTTAAAGTATATTAAAATAAAAACTGTTATTTTAAAGTGCAATAATATTTCACAAAATAACTTAATATTTTTAATCTAAAACCATATTGTATCTGATCAGCAAATTTTTATTAATGAGTGAATGTGGGGGGGGAAAAAATCAAAGCTTTTAATGTTGATTGTTGCCATAGAGAGTGGGGTGAATTGGGCCACTTTTTACTCATGGTGTGTTTAAGTGAGTGCATGACAGTAATGGGTCCAACTTAAAAATGTACATACATTTCAGAATGTGGTGCATGCTTGGGAATAATCGCTTTGGATCTAAAATAAACTGCTTTCAAAAAAGCCTTTCCAAAAAAAAAAAAGTGGTCTCCTGGCTCAGGATCCAGCTTCTTTGACCCTATAAGGACAACACGGTTTGTATAATGGAATGAATGGATGGATGACTTCTTAAAATTTCATTTAAAGACAAAGTTAACAACTTTAAAGGCATTTTTTAATTATTAAACATTTCAGAACAAAATACAAATTCAAATTAAAGAAGAAAAAACATTGCAGGGAGTTTGATTGACAGGCAATCTGACCAATCATAATGCCGGATCTGCCATTTCTGTCCGACAAACAAACCAGACAGGAGAGTAGATTAATGTTGGTGGACTTGAACTTTAAAAATGGTGTGTATTGATGTCTTTCCGTGGTTGAAACAAGATACCTTCTGATGTTCATTTGTGTTTATTTCATGTTTATTTTTCATTGGTGAGAACACGATGTGTGGCATGAGAATGGCATGGCTTGACAGACTTAGCAACAGTAACTAAGGGTCATCCCACTTATAAATGTTGCAGGGTAATAAAAGGTCATAAAAACTTAAATGGCCATTGTTGTCAACAATGCCTATTTAAAATGAACTCTTCAAATATTTGTGGTCATATCACCAATTTTGTGGTTGCCTTGCCTAACAAGGAGTGGCTCAACTTTCCCACAGGTTCAAATCACCCTGCTCTCTCCACTACTGCATTGATTACTTAAACAATTAAGAAATTTAATAAAGAGATATTTAAAATTACACGTACATCAAAAATTACACTTGTTGCCCAACAGATATTACAAAAATATGATTCATTTTAGTTGAAAGACTGAAAAAAAAAAATACATTTCAGAAAGTTTTAAAGATGTTTTGAAACCAACATACAAAACCTTAATTTGTCCTTTTGTTTCCCACCAAAAAATGTCATAAAGATGAATCTTTTACCGAAGTGAAATTGAGGACTCAGCCTAAACTAATAGTCAAATACAAAACAAAGAACAAAATCAAAAGTGTTTGGTCTAAAGTTAATAATGCAATGTAGAATTACAGTAAAATAATACTTTATAATTAATCATAAGAAAATGATATTTCAGAAATATTTGAAGATGTTTTGAAACCAACATACAAAACCTTTGTTTGTCCTTTTGTTTTTCACCAAAAATGTCATGAAGATTAATCTCACTGTTGGAAGAGACAAACCAATCAGAAAAAACCAATTATATTACTTTAAATGGTGATTTTAATATCTCATCCAGTATATATGCTCTCAGAAAAAAAGGTTCAAAACCTGTGACTGGCGCGGTACACAGCAAAATCAAATCAACTCTGCTCAGAGTACATGTTGTCCCAATCTACAGAGTGTTAAAGTAACACTGAAGCAGAGTTAACACTGTTGAGGATTATGTGATGTTTTCATGTCTAAAAGCCTGAGCTGTAGTTGTTCATCTTCAACATTGTTAACAGCGGGTTTTCTTTACTAATGCTCACTCATCAATTAATTAATTGCTTGATTATCCCATTAACTTTCACTCGGCTTCAGTGTTACTTTAACACTCTGTAGATTGGGACAATATGTGCTCTGAGCAGAGTTGATTTAACTCTGGGGATTTTGCTGTGTACCTTTTCAAACGGTACCAATATGAACCGTATACATTTTAGGTAGCCTATACAAATATGTATCTTTAAGATTCTAAAATGCACCCTTCACATGTAAATATGGTAGGCTACAAAGGTGCACCTTTTGATCTATCAGTGGTACTGTCCCAGTGACAGCTTTTGTACATTTTGATGGGGACATTCTACCTTCCACTGATGACAGCAATCAAGTCACGTACGTGTTTCGCGTCAGTGGGTGGAATGCTGTTCCCTGCAAGCGTGTTATTAAGACGAAACCGCAGTGTTCACAAGAAAGGCAGCGTGTAGTCTTTAAGTCTGTCATTGCAGAAATTCCGAGAAGGCGAGACAGAAGCTTTGAAATCATACTGTAAGACCATCTACACGAGGTAAGACACGTCTGCTCTTCTGCTACTGTAGTCACCGCATTTGAGTTATTTTGCTTCATAGTTTTATTCCTAGTGAGCAAATATGTGTGTTTCTTTAATATTATAACTGAAATTATATCTCTTTGGGGAAAACCCGTCATGCTTTGCTTGAAGGACCATCATTAACATCTGCCCACAACATTTTTGTGTGGAATACCCGATAATACGTCATTTGAGCATCAGTTTGAAGTTTATGGTTATTTTCATAACCTCAAAAAGTTTTACTTGCACAGAACTTGTTGCGTGCCAACTGATACGCAACCTTGCTTTGTCACGTTTCTCTATGATAACGGGAAATATGAGGTGTGTTTTGCGTTTCGTATCCCAATCTGTCATGAGGGATGAAGTCTGTGGTTGCGTTTTTGTTTGACGCTCTTTATGGCTTATAACGAAAAATAGGAGTTATCGTTTTTCATGTCGTTTCAAGGAAAGCGCTTTAAACCTGCCAGACCTGCTGTCACGAAAACCCGAGATGAGGGCGTTTTATTTTCGATGGAGTTTACTCTCAGCTCTTTGGATTGCAGGTAAGAGTTCATTTCCACGTCGCTGATTGTAGTCTACACTACTTAGGTTGGCTTTGTCTATTTTTATGTTGGCGACATGAGGAAATAATTTGTATTCATCTGTAGCTGTTGTGGAACGTTTATTGTGGTCGCTGTTAGCGTTCAAACAACGGGAAAGAATGAATAAAGGTGATGCATTTTCAAAAGTGAAAAACTGCGCTTAAATGTTTTATTTTTTTATCACTGTTACTAGTTACTTGAAAAAAGTAATCTGATTATGTAACTCGCGTTACTTGTAATGCGTTACCCCCAACACTGATCACTGTACACTGAACGAAAGCTTGATTGTTTTCCTTACCTGCCACTTACAGTCTTTCTAAACGTTCAGCAACACCATATGAAATGCATTGACTCAGACTAAGTTTTAAAAATAGGCTACGTTAGGTATTATTAGCAAAGATGATGATGTTGAAGTTTCATTTGCAGTTGTTACCCATGTGTTAAAAAAAACTTCAAAATTCCCCGCTTCACGTGTTCACATGACATACTGACATACTGACATTCTCAGCTGCGGTTATGGAACTTTTCAAAACCACCACTGAACAAGAATGCTTACATGTGTTAAAATAAGGTCAGACAGCTATTTACTTTTACTTTAAACAGGTACAATTTAATGACAAGGCGTAAAAGAGAAATTTGGTTCATGCATTAAAACAGTAATTAGTCCCATACTAGCTAAATTTATTTAATTTTGTTTTCCTCTTCAAGGGAGTGAGATGCACATCACAAATCTCAGATCATATACCATCAGTGCTGGTCTTGCATTTAAGCTTGAGTGCAATGAAGACCGTGAAATGCAGAATGTGAGCTGGAGCCGTGTTCCTGATCAGAGTCTGGAAAGCATCAGCGGAATAAACATTCATGGAAGCGCGCTATGGTTTCTGCCTGCTGACCTCTCCCACAGCGGATCCTACTCCTGTCTCAGCAGGTATGATGCAATTCACAAAGTTGTTTAGTTTTGACATATGTTTTGAATACTGAAGAACTTGTTTTATCACAAATCATGTTCAAGCATCTTTGTTTTATCCCGCTAAGGTCCACTTAGAATGTTGAAAATTGAAAAATGGAATGTAATTATTTTAACACTCTCTTAGCATTAATGAGTCTGAAATAAAATGACCAAAATGATCAATATTCTTGTTCAAAACAAATGTCCTCCTTGACAGTGATTCCTGTGAATGAACACTGAATAGTCTGCATTGATGTTTAAATTCGGATGGTTAAACGATCAAACAATCTGTTCAGAACAAGCCATTTATGCAGTTTTGTTTTCACTAGGATGGAAGTTCTGAACCATTTCAGTATGATTCATTGTGCTTTATTTCTAAAGGAAATTTGATTACTGAAATCTTAATGAAATACTTTGGATAATTTTTGGATACTTGTTGTGAAAAAATGCAAGCTACCTCGGATTAAATTATGCAAAATGAGGTGTAGAGCATAAAGATGCAAACATAAATTAAAAACACGGTAACACTTTCCTTTATATTTGTGACCCTGGACCACAAAACCAGTCGCATGGGTATGTTTGTAACAATAGCCAAAAATACATTGTATGGGTCAAAATTATCGATTTTTCTTTTATGCCAAAAATCATTAGAATAATGACAATTTTAAAGGCGATTTTCTTAATATTTTGATTTTTTTGCACCCTCAGATTCCAGATTTTCAAATAGTTGTATCTCGGCCAAATAT